ATAATTTACTACACCATAATAGAAATATGCAAGTCAATGTACTATAATTTAACTATGTAATCTTGAATTAGCTACAAAAGTGGTAAGTACACTCGCGAGCAAAAATATGGAATCACCCAATTTGTTTCGAGTGATCTAGAACTAATTGGCTAAAAAGATAAATAAAAATGCTACCATTTTAAAGGTAATATTATAAACTTTAAATTGATACCATAGATACATATAGTAGTCATTTACTTCTTAAGAGTTGTCTCGGAACAAAACACAAGTGGATGATTCCATACTTTTGTTCGTAAGTAGGTAATAGTTTAGCCGGGCTATCCTAAACCAGATATTATTTTCGTGGCATTGTATCGATGTTAGACAGCATATCGTCAAAAATCGATTAATAACTCAATAACATTATATCGTGCAGTAGCTTTACGTATCGTTTAAGGCAAATTGGACTACGATTTCAATTATGTACATCTATTGTGTGATTTTGGTTCTTGTTCTTTACTTCTTTAACAATGAATCCCACTATCGTGGACTCCAACTGTAATAACTAGGTATTATCGTACCTTTACCTAGGTTTATCCAATTAAAATAATATTTGTGATTTCTGACTTATTGCATTTTGGTTTTTATTGTTATTCCCAGAAGTATTTTGTTACCAGGCTAGTTTCTTAAGCGCAAATTTGCTTTTTCTCATAATAATTTTGAATACCTTCTTGCAAGAGACAGTTTTTTTTTCTTCAACTTTAATCCACAAGTAATCTATTTCCTTGTTTTGTAACGCGCTGATTCAATCTTGTTAGCCAAATTACAGATAATTTAATACTAGTAACTTGATGAACTACTTAGGTATCAAGAATTAAATTGGTAGTTCCTCAGCTGTAATTGGACATTTAAAAACTCATCCATTCAATAGTATGTCATAGTTTAAAGTACTAGGCTTCCATGAGGCAAAAGATATGTGTATTACTATTTTCAGCTATAGGTAAGCCCTCCATTGAATCGAGTCATGAAAATAAACTGAAGGATATTTAAAAAAGTACGCTACTAGCGTATAAATAAAGTTCAATGTCGAGTTACGCTTACTAGTACCAGGCTATCAGAGTCAAGCCAAGAGGTATGTAGGTACCTACTACATTTTGCAGTTATATTAGTCTGGACAAGCCGGGAAAGATCGCAAGTGTGAGGGGGTTAAATTCACACTGTCGCTCCCTCTCAGACACACGAGGGTCGGAACCTTGTCTGTGTGTGTGCACACAAACGGGGAAAACGTAAGTCATAGCAATGTGTGCATCACCACATGGACAAAGACTGTGTAGATCAATACGAAAACTGTGTATACGAACGAACCCCCACCCCACAGTGATGTTACTTTTGCATTTTAATTTGAGCCATATTTCAAGGACTGAAAGCCGAAATTCCGAACTTTAATGGTTTACGAGATATGTAAACATTCGTGAAACCATGGTAACAGATCTCGACCACCTCTGCAGTTTCATGTTTGCCTGGTGTGGCAGGGCTGAGGTTTCGGACAGTTTTATCGACATAACCACTACTTACCGCTACTAAGCACTGAGCAGAGACTACGTCTATGCCGAGTTTGTACTGTTTATTAGGTTTTAAATAAGTAGTACCTAGCTCCTAAAACACGTCTTTGGGTAGGTAGCGAGATTTTATTGAAATCAATCAAGGACCCCTTATTTTTAATACTCTGCCATTCATTTCATCCGTCCATTCAAAATCATATATGATCACGCCGCATAATACTTAATTTAATTATTGGTTTTGGTCTATTTAGATAACGATAAATGAACCTGCCGATCTTTAAACCTAACATTAATTTAAAACGTTGTCTTCTAAGGTAGTCACGTGTAATTTTGTTTTATCAATTTCAGTTTCCATTATGATATTGTTTAAACTAGCTTTCCGCCCGTGGCTTCGCCCGCGTGAAGAAAGGGCTGTTCTTAGGGATTTCCGGAAATTATTCGAATTTTTCTCGCCGTAAAAACCATTCTTGGACTTCCGCGATTCATTTTTATATCATAGATGCGACAAGCAAGTATATTCGATCTCAATTAGGACTAGGAATATGTAACTAGAAACGGAGTGTGCCTTGTCATTTCATTATTTTAATTATTTGGAAAATCGACTTATGTATTTTACTGTTCGGTTATTTCCGCTGGTCTCCTTAGTCCCCTGCGGTGGAAATCGATTTTTTTTTTCAGAAAAATTCCCACTCGTCACCCGTGGGGACAAAGCTAGGAGTGACGACCGGGAATAACCGTTACTGTTTTAAGCAGGCACCGACCTACACCCTACAGATACTTTTATTTGACTTTTACGTACATTAGGAGTGGATTGGAAGCTCTATTTCAGTTTTTGTAGCATAATGATTTAGTCATCATATTATTATTATGCGTACAAAACCGTAAGTGAATATGAATAAATCTCTCAAAATCGACGCAAAGCACCATAAGTTTTTATTATCTGCAGTGGTGAGCATTAAGCTGGAATGCCATCACCGCGAGTTGATCATATCAATTTTTTACTGTACAATATGAACTAGGGATTGTGGTAGGTAGGTACGTCATTTATTTTTAAAGGTCATAGGCACAGAAGCCGCTCAAATCGTCAGCTTGATCCAGCCAGGGGTTAAATTGTCTCAGCTCAGCTTAATAACTTTGTTCTACAGCTTCACCTATGCCAATCCTATGTCTCCAAGTTACAAGAGATTCGGAGACTGGGAACTTTGGAGGCCAGGATGTGTATGATGGCGATGCGCAACGTCCAGAGACGTTAGATTTATTGTCACCAATTCTCCCCGAAATCGACACCTGCGGGGCTACTCCGAAGAACGTTATCCGAAGCTTCGAATGATGCCATCTTTCTCACGCAAAGCAAGATGCTAGCAAGAGTTTTATAGTATATTCGGGGAATAATTAGATATTGTTTAGCCATCATCAGCCAGATAGTTTTCGACTGCCACCTTGCAAGACAAGCATTTTAAGGCTAGCTGCCAAAGCTACGAACCCAAACTTCATTGGGAGCTTGCGATGACAAATTTTCAGATTTTATAAAATAACGAAGGTCTGGAGTTCACGGGCTCTTATTCGATAAGTGTCTTTACTTTTTAAACATATTTTGTCCTTATACCCGAAAATTATAAACACATTTTTATCGCCCAAACTTATTTTACATTTACATTTTACCAATTATTTTGTGTGTCCCATCAGAGCAATGTGCTAGCTGTCAGAGCTTTACACTTTACAGTCCTTGAAATACATTCTTAAATCAATATATGATCTCTGGAGTTATGGTTGTTGAATGTTTGGTCGGTAGTTACGAATAATTTATGTCTATCACGCCACTAAGGATCTCATATTTCACATTAGGTACATCTTGAACTTAGATTCAGATTGGTGTTTAGGTTTGAATTCATGGATTTAGCTTAGGAGCCATTTTGCGTAGGTACCTACAGACAACAGCACATCAAGCTTAACATTACAGCTTCATAATCTATACTAATATTATAAATAAACTAGCGGCCGCCCGCGACTTCGTACGCGTGGATCCCGTTTTACCCCCTTCATCTATCTTACGCGGTTTAGATTTTTTCATACAAATGTTTTTTCCCGCTAACTCCCGTTCCCGTGGGAATTTCGGGAATTCCTTTCTTAGTGCACCTCTACGGTACCTAAGCTACGTCCCTTCCAAATTTCAAGTGCCTACGTTTAGCCGTTTAGGCTGTGCGTTGATCTGTCAGTCAGTCAGTCAGTTTCTCCTTTTATATATTTAGATGCGAAAGTAACTCTGTCTGTCTCGCTTTCACGCCTAAACCACTGAACCGATTTGGATGAAATTTGGCATAGAGATAGTTTGAGTCCCGGGAAAGGACATAGGATAGTTCTTATCCCGGTTTTTGAAACAGGGACGCGCGCGATAGTTTTTCTGTGACAGACAAAATTCTACGCGGGCGAAGCCGCGGGCGGAAAGCAAGTTATTGTATAAGTAGGCAATAATATTATTATAAACAAAAATGTTTAGTCTAATGTGCTGTCAACATAACGAGTAAGTTTGGCTTAGAATATATCAAGAATTAAAGCATGTGCGTATGTCTCTAATTTGAAATGCGCTGAAATTACAGCTTTTCAGGAACTACCCTATTAATCGCCTTCGTTACGCGCGATTGTAAACCAATATCCGACCATAAGAGTCATGTCATGCATCAGTCAGTTGAGATTACAGCCACACTGTTGGCTTTTGCTATGCATTTGTCAGTGCACACATAAGGTTTGCATTTTACGATCGACTTTAATAAGAGTAGGCGCACACCGTTGATTTTTAGTTGGCCGATAGTTGTGCCCGATTTTAAATTGTATGAAGAATCGGCCAAATCGAATCGGCGTAGTGTGCGCACTCCCATACATGCCCATACTGATCAACTGCCCGACTAAACTATCGGCCGACGAAAAATCAACGGTGTGCGCCTACTCTAAACACTCTTTTAATTTAAGAGATCATGATTTATTTTACTTCTATTTTAAAGGGGAGCTGAAATTATGTTAGCTGTCCTGTAACGGTTATCAGTGCAGCATCGATGATAAAAACTAATTGTATAATAAAAAGGTAAGTTGTACAACAAGTACTCAATCTAGCATTTAACAACAGTTCCATTTAAATTGTAGCTTCTATTGAGTGACTACATGGAATACACGGATAGTTGTCATTTAAGAAACCAGCCATTAATATTATACATTTAAAAAAGAAATATAATAGATAACTTAATTGTCTATTTATACACTACAAATAAATCTTACCTAGCTACAAATTATGTACAGCTCCTTAAAATTATAGTTTTCCTTACGTTAACTTACATAAATATGACTATGTTTCGCATTTGTTTTTTTGAAGTCTCTTCCGCAAGCACACGCTTTTTTTAGATTTTGCACTTGTATTTGACTCTACAGTACTCGTAGTATTTGACTCTACACTCGTATTTGTCCATACACGACTCGTGTCGACCAAACTTGGGCGGCACGGAGCTGCAAAGAAAAAACATAAAAGCGGATAAGCATCAACATCGAGCACAGACAATAATGTTCGTTACCTTAATTGCCAATTCGCTCAGCATCGGTGCACGACAGCCAACCTTGTGGTGTCAACCACCCAACAATTTCGCTTGGCACTGAAACACTAACTACTATTTGGGGTTTAGCAGTTCTTTATTGCAGTTAAAGTAACTTTATTTAATTTTGTGTGTGCATTCCATTTAGATTAATCGGTATGTATTGGTGAATAAAAACATCATTAAGGAAGTAAGGCACATTTTATTTATAAAAAATATAAGATATATCAGTACATATCATCTATTAAAATTATATCAAGGCTGCAACTATACATTACTGACTAAAAAGTTTTAAGTACGGTAACAACATGAACACAAAAAATTATGATTTAAATTAATAAATATGCATTGGGTATTTAAAAATAGTAAATACATTAGTATAAAATCAGGTACATATAACATTAATTGATAAAAACAATGGAAACGCAAGTCTAAATGTATGTACATATTGGAAGGAATTATGAGGAAAATGGAATTGTATAGCGGGACCAAAATTCAGGAAACCGATGGCATAATAAGTAGAAAGTGGAAGTATAACATTGTAACCGCAGAAGATCAACACAAGAAAATGTTATTTACATTATTATTTACACAATATGAATGACATTGCTGTCCAATCGGGGTTGAAGGCACGCGATCATGCCGATGAGGTAATAGCGGTGTTAAGGCACGCGGTTATGCCGAGTGCAAATACTGTCGATGAATCGGGTGTCCCAAAACTAACGCAAGATTTGAATTAAATAGAAAACACAGTTTTTAGTCTTTTGATTATAATTTTTTTATTGAATCATAAAGTACACAGGATATTGTTATTTATGGAATAAAACATCGGGAAAATGGCCTCCACCGCATACTGCATGAGCCATTTCCAGGTGATATTCTCTCGTTTCGGTGGTTAGAATTGGCTTCCTACATCGTGTGATTTAACACCATTAGATTTCTTTTTATGGGGTTATTTTAGATCACAGGTCTAGGTATGTCAACAAGCCCGAAACAGCCGGTTACAACAACGAAATTCAGCCACATTATGTAAAATGGTCATAGAAATTTAACGGTTGCGTATGTATGCAAAACCGTGGAGTTTAACCGTTTTTCCGATGTGTTATTCCTTAAATATCCTATCCTATGTACTTTATGATTCAATAAAAAAATTACAATCAATAGACTAAAAACTGTGTTTTCTATTTAATTCGAATCTTGCGTTAATTTTGGGACATCCTTTATATTGGAGAACTAGAATATCACAAAAACTGCCCTAGCCATAAATCGCGTCGTTTTGCGGGACTCGTACAAAAACAATGCCATGTTGTTATTTTTGTGTGTGTGGTTATATCACGTAAAACGACGTAGTCTCAGTTTTAGTGTAGTGGCTGCCTGACTTGTATTCTTGGCATTGTAACTAAATACATACATAAGTAAACAACCTGCTGTAAAAATGTGGGGAATGTCTTGGTGATTGTTTTCTTTTTTTGTGTCAGATATCATTGAGGAAGCAAACATCAATCGCCTCTCCAGTTTTGAGGAACCTACGCTCAATCGCCTCTCCAGCTCTGAGAAAGTTTTAATCAATCGCCTCTCCATCTCTGAGGGAGCTAAGATCAATCGCCTCTTCAGCCCTGAGGAAGCAAACATCAATCGCCTCTCCAGCTCTGAGGGAGCTAAGATCAATCGCCTCTCCAGCCCTGAGGAAGCGAAGATCAATCGCCTCTCCAGCTCTGAGGGAGCTAAGATCAATCGCCTCTACAGCCCTGAGGAAGCTTCGATCAATCGCCTCTCCAGCTCTGAGGGAGCAAGATCAATCTCCTCTACAGCCCTGAGGAAGCTTCGATCAATCGCCTCTCCAGCTCTGAGAGAGCTAAAATCAATCGCCTCTCCAGCTCTGAGAAATCTAAGATCAATCGCCTCCCTTATATGAGCTCTCTACACTGCGGGAATCGAGTATGGGCGGTGGAGTAAACGAGGCAAGCTGACTTGGGTAGAGTACAACCCCGGCCAGCAGAGCCAGCTCCATGATCTGTCAGTGGAGGTCAGAGCTGGTTTGTAGTTTCTGGCCGCCCTATAAGACCTCCCATGGATCACACACTGCGAGCATTTATGACCTCGCTCGATCTTCGGCGGCCGATTCCAGTTGTTAATGCCCGCTTCGTCTCTACGTAGGTGGTGTAAAGGAAAGCTTCATTTTACGGGGCTCGTAATCGAAGCGTCGGCTACCAGTGTACGTCAATCTGGTGGCAATGCGTGTGATCCGCAGCTCTGCCAGTTCGCTAACCATCAATAGACAGCATGACGAGGGAGGAGGCGGCGTCGAAGGCATTCTGGCATCTCACACCTCAGTCAGCGATTATCTTAATTGGGCGGCCGCCATATCGATGTCTGGCATTACCGCGGATGGCTCACGCCATCTGTATCGAACATTAGTGGAGGTTTCCCATGCCTCCGACTTAATATTCGGATCATCCAGAATTAGCGACCTGGTGAAGACACCCTCCGTACTACTGCCTCCAAAATATCAAGAAAAGCCTCGAATTCTTCGGCAACAGGGCGGTTTTGGGGAGAACAGAAAAAGGGTGCGTGCATTCTAGTTTCAACAATATACAATTATAACGTTTTGTGTTTTCTGTCACGGTTTTTATTTTTATTAATTAAAAAGGGGTTGTGTTTTTGGTAATTTCTACTTGTAAGGGGTTGTGTTTTTGGTAATTTCTACTTGTACCATAAATCTCGTTGTCGGTAAACGGTCAGGTAAAAATTGTGGTCTTATGTCTTGATTCAATGTAAATTCTGCTTCCAAACAAGATGGAAGATTGATTACATACAGTCGTGGTCAACTAATTAGGGACGTTATATGACTAAAACACAAGACCGTCTCTCCAGTCCGAAAAAAAAATCTTCACGAGGCTTTGTAGCTTGTGCCTATTAATAGTAAGTAATTTGGCTAGTATTCTAAATATTTAAAGGCCAGAATAGAAACTAGCTAGTTGCGATCAATATTTTTAAAATAAATAAATCATTGCCACCTACACATTTATTGACCTAGGGATGGACAACTAATTAGGGACACGTAACACTTTCACTGTAAATGTAAATAAATTATTATAAATTGGAAATTATTTAAGTGTTTGTTACATAAAAAGTTTTCATTAACCCGGCGTCAATGACGCTGGGTCATATTGACCCGAGGCATTTTCAAACGTTCATAATTTTTTTTTGCGTCCATTTTGTGGTTCGAGCGTTCATATAGCTGGAGATAGAACCTCCCTAAATCCATTCCGTTAGTTAACGTATTGTGACTCCGCTTGCGTAGCGAGATACACAGGCTTCAAATTAAAACGGGTCATTATGACCCGGCGTCATCGATGGCGCGGTGATTTTGTGACTTACTTTTATTCGCTTATTTTGTGTTTAGTGCTAGCTTATGTTGTTCTTTTTTAAGTTTTAGTCAAAATGTCTTTGTTATAGTAGGGAATTTAGTGCAAGAACCCCTCCACTTTGGTATAGAAGGCTCATTTTTGCAACAGTGGTTCTTTGGGTGCTCCTGAGTGGATTTCCGTCGGTAGACATCGGGAGCCCCCCCTGTGGTAGCAGGGGGAGGGGGGGCAAGTTTCCTTCCGCCGCGCTTCACTTTAAGGCCTATATCTTCAAAACTATGGGTATAAGGGCAAGTGTGGTATCATTTTCGGATAATTAAAGGATGGCGAATTCATTTCTAGAACAAACTTTTTGCCTTTTCATACAAAAAAATAGAAATATGGAGTAAAATTCACAAAAACCAAAAAGTTTTTTTTTAAATAAACGTCGTTTACTTTTAAACCACTGGAGATAATCTAATAAAAAAATATGACCTGAAAGCTACATTTATCAGGATTATAAAAATATAACATTGTATGGTACTTTTTTCACAAAAAGTAGGTGAAAAAAAATTTTTCTTCAGGACACAGCGGGCGAATTTTATATTTACGATAACCAATTACCTGGATGTGAGATGTTCCGTTTTAAAGATAAGTGTTTCTTTAAAACGGAAAACAAAATATGCATTAAAAATAAATAGAAACCTATTATAAGTTTTTATTTACATTCAAGGATTTAAGAAAGTTATAGCCAGATCTTACAATAATTGTTTTTAAGCCACAAATATTCCTTAACTCTTTACTAATTAATTCAATAACATATTGTTTAAATAAGTTCCGAATAAATTAAATACCTATTAAATAAGTAAAATTCGAAAGCAACTGTATGATTTTGTATTTCTCGCCCTAACTAGCTAAACTAATATCATGAGATTTACACTCATAATATCAACAATAATTGTAGAAAGGGCTACTTTTTTCTCGGGAAATTGCATAGTTACCTCGGCATGTGCGATAGCAATTTTGTGACCCGAGCGGGCAATCGCTAGTTCAAATTTTACACGAAGCCTCATATAATATTTGTAACGATTCTTTATTGGGTTTAAAATTGACTAAAATGCGACGTTGCCAAACGAGCGCTACGGATGCGGGTAATAAGCAATACTCAATCCTAATAGCTTTACATATAGCTTGGTTTGCTAGGGCAAACATCTACAGTGGTGCGCCGACGCTGCTTTAGACCCGAAACATGAATGAACGGGGGCGGAGCAATCGAGCGTGTGTGTGCAAACAATTTAGGCCCTTAAGGTGTCAAGGCGTTCGAGTCCCCGATAGTACATACATAGGGTTGCCAGGTCCAAAAACACAATAGCCAGACTCTGTGCTTCATTTGGCCGGACATTTTACTTTAAAATTAGTGTCATAGCTCACGAAGTACTATCATCATCGGTTGCCCAGCGCTTGATGTTATTCCGTAGCTCGGCTTTCTTTCGCATAAAAAGCCTAACAAAAGCCGGACAGGCTGGACAAGACAATATTTGGCCAGACAAGACCGTAAAAAGCCAAACAT